AGTATATGCATATCTACAAATTGACTCATAATTTAGGCATTATTTTATTTAATTTCCTTATTTTTCTTCTGTACTAGTTTGGTTTGGTTATATTAGATGCTTCCACATAGGAATTAAAAAAAAAGTGACTGGACTGTATTTTTATGTGAAATTTACTAAAACCATCAAAGTTGTGAGTGGTGATGAAAAGTAGATGCTTTACAACAATGTGGAATGCAAGAGACCATGGAGTAGACAAAAGCAAAAAAAAAAAAAAATGATGTTTATGTGGTTGGATTTAAAGAGAATTCTTTGTAATAAGGAATTTTCAAGAATCCAATTATTCTAACAAGTACTGCTCCAGATTAGATAAACTGAAAGGCAGCAGTTTGCAAAAAGTGTCCAGAATAAATTAGGTGCAATATTCCAGGAGGATAATACTAAACCACATGCTTCTTTAGTGAACAGACAAATATTGTTTTCTTTATATTGTCATTTGTGTGTTTTGACAGATTTCTTTTAATGAAAACAAAATTTGAATTGCCAGAAATACTGGGAAAAATGATATCATGAGCAGCTGCTTGTTGAGAAAGATAAAAAGTTATGAGAGGATGGAATTATATTTTTTAACACTTTAGTTCACACAATACAAGCCCTAACAGCAACTCAAGGGAGAGGGTTACTGAGTAAGATTGTTGTAAAGGCATAAGGGAATAGGAAGGAGTGCATATTATAAAGATATCTAGAGTAGATATCTGTTTACCCGAGACTTAAAGACATTAATATTGTGACAGTCAGGAAAGCATCCTCCTGGAAGTTTGTTCTGCAGAGCTGTTGCTCTGTAGAAGCTTAGTAGAACTTCCTCCTTACCAAAAGAATATGGGGAGAACAAAGATGATTTGACACAGTGTACATGGCATGGCTCCTAGCTGTGAAAATCTGAACTGGTGGAACTAAAAACTGTAGCTCATTTGAACATTTGCCACAGTATAATAGAGTAGTGAGAGATGTTTGCAAGTTGTCTGAAAAATAGATGGAACAAAACTATATATTTTTTGATAAATGTTAAAAAAAATTTTCACTTAAAACTAAAAAGATTTTTTTTTAGCCACTCAACAAGTTGTTTTCTATTAAACAGAAGCTGCAGCTTACAAAATCTTTATTCTTTCATTGTTTCTTTTTTAATTATGCATAGAAGTCCATGTTAAGATATTAGTTTTTTTTTTTTTTTTTGAAAATTCACTACCGAAAAGTATTCATTATAATTATTAATAATAATGTATAATTATTACTTCCTAATTCACAGCATCAACCACTTCCTATTCTAAACATTTACTTCTACCTCTCTTGATAAATCTATATTGCATACCATTTGGTTTAGATATTTTATTTATAAATAAACATACATATACCTCAAGTTTAAACCATCAACCTAAAATTAGTATAAATCACTGAAAATTTCTATGCAACAATGAAGCAGTTTTAATTTCTGTTTATACAGTAATAAAATTGCTAACTTTAGAGTTAGGAGTTCCAAAAATTCAATGAATAATTTTAGCTTATTGTTTTGTTTGGGTACCATGAAGTTCAAATGTCTAAAGCAAATTTGAAACTATAAAGGATCATATCAAGCTATTAAAGTATCAAACAACTACAGAGACACCTGTATACAAGGTAATTTCATTGAATCAATCATTTTTTTTTCATTTGGTACTGACACATACTCTTTCAAACATCTAGCATATTATTCTGGCAATCATTCTTTAACAGGTAGATTACAAAGTAGGCATAAGTGCATAGCCAAATGGTTAGAGAGTTGGCCTTCTGAACATGAGACTAATGTTTGAGTTTCAGTATGGTCAATTTGTTAGTGACTTAAAGATGATACCAGTATGCAACACATTGGGAAATAATTGAAAATGATCCTAAAAGTTGACCCAAGCCTTGTAAGTGAAATTGGGTAGACAAAACTGTTTGGAAGCCCCTTATGGTTGTGCAAGCACAAAGTTAATAATTATCGTGATCAAGGCTTCAAAAGTACCAGCCTTGTTGAAGTACTAATCAGCCCAGATTGTGAACTTTGCCCCAGAAACTGTAAGATCTGCTCAGCATAGCTGCAGGAAAACTACTGGTTGATTCTGTGGATATTGAAAGAATACAAATATACCAATGTAGATTTGCAACAAGGATAGGCATACTTGGAAATGACTAACCAGCCATTACATTACAAGCTATGGTGGTAGTTAATTATTTGAGATACTTATCAAAAGTCATTGATCACTAATATGATGATGAAAAAAGACCAACATGGCTCACATGTATATTACTTATTTTCAATTCCAATTATTGCCTTGGGTATTCCTTTTAAACTATAGCTAATTTCTATCAAATGAATGAAGAGACTTTCCTTATATTTAGATTTTTCAAATCTACTTTATTAAATCAAACATTGATTTGTGAGTTGTTAAAATTTTGGATAAATAATTTAAATTTGAAACAAATAAAAAGTGACCAAAAGAGAAAGAAAAAAAATTGATGTAAATTAAAGTTTTAAAGTTCATTACTAATAAGCTATCACAAATAAAACTTGAAACATGGTATTAGTACCATGGTAGATCATTGTATTATTAATGATATTCCCTAGCCATATTCATTAAGATGAAATTGACAATGTTTAACCTTTGTTCCTGAAAAACAAAAAAAAAAAAAAAAAAAAAACAGTGGGACAAAAGGACAGTTATTTACTTATCATTGCTATCACTGTATTTTTGACTCTTTTAGTAAGGTTTATTGTTTTAAAAAGGGTTGATTAGAATTTTAATAAAGTATGAAAGTGGATTTATACATTTTTGTTATTCTTGAGAATTGAAACAAAGATATTAAGCAATATTAAACTGCTTATTTACAAGAACAATTTTATATTTACAAGATTATAAAATATGTGAATCAACTATAATGAAATATTTATTAATTACCATTTTATAAAGAAATAAATACAAAAAAAATTTTTTATTCATAAATTTATAAAAATTTCTGAACAAAAAAATTTAAATAAAACACCTATGTGGTAAGAGCAAAGGAAAAAATGCCCAGAAAATTCTGGGCATTTTTTCATTTGTTCTCACCACATATTCATTAAAATAGGGAGAGCATTTCTTCTGCTTACATATTTTGATCATTCTGTATTTTTTTAAATAAATTCTTGAGTAAAAAGATTTCTTTTCGAATACATTTCTAAAAAAAAAAAAAAAAAAAAAAAAAAAAGGGGGGGTAAATAATAAATCTTATAGAAGGTAAATAAATATCACATTAGTTCACATATTTTATAACCTTGTAAATAAATACTGCCAAGAAACTTAAAAGTATTTTTACGGTAATAATAGTGTCAAGGGAATAAACATCCTTTTGACATAAGTTTTTTGCAGGCTTGAAGATTAAACATTGACATGAAAAAAAAAATCAAGACTTGAAATACCGAAAGTTGAAGTTTTCATTCAATTTATTGTCATTAAACAAAAACTGACAAGTTTAACACCTGTTATAGTTCTCACAACTGCACTTAATCCCAAGCTTTTTCTAAAAATGTTTCCCCATTAGTTATTTTTATGTTCATTTTAATGAAACTTAATTTAAATAGCTATCATACGTCACTGTTGGTCCACAGTTTATCTAAAGAATCAATAGCCTTTTTCAACCATAAATGCCATCATAGAAAATTACCAAAATAACACTTCAGAAAATATGAGAAAGCAAACAAAGAGTATAGTCTGTGGGGGGGAATATTGATGAATTCATTTTTTATGGCTTATCAACCATTTGCAGGTTATTTAAAACCAGAAAATGTTTTTAGAATGTAATTTTTTTGAGACGATAATGGTTTGGTGATACAAGTTTTACTAATTAACTCATAGCCAAGGGAAAAAGAGGTGGATTCATACCTTTCCCAAGGGTATTTGTGCATAAGTGAATATAAAAAAAACCCAACAGGAATTGGAATTAAGCTCTCCAATTAACAATTCTAAGCCATTATCCATTACACTAGCCACATATGCGAGCTTACAGGACCTGGTATTCCATCTAAGTACTGACCAGGCTCAACATTGCTCAACTTCGGTGATCTTACAGAATGGGAACCAGTGCTTCAAAGTGATGTGGTTATAACCACAGTGGAGGAGGAGGGAGAAAGAGCATGAATACCCTTGAGAAGATAAACTTCAAGTATACTGACAGGAATACCTGTCAACTGGAATATCTAAATTTACACCATTATATGACATGTTATCTGCAGGAGGCCATTCTACAGAGAAGTTAAACTGTGAGCAGCAATACTTGTCATTGTTCAAACGTAAATGTTTTTCTCGTTTTAAGTGGACACTTGTCTTCATACTTGTGCTACATGATCTTCCGCCTATAAAGACATTGGTTACATTTTTCTTTAATTTGAAAAAAATACCCAAGTCATAAAGAACACACTACCTAAATTTTCATAGAAAAACTAATGTGTAGAAAAATGCAATGCAATGCAAATGATAAAACACTATCAAAACAAAAAAAAACAAACATAGTTGCTGATTTTTTTAATTTTTTTTTTTATTTACCAACTTTTTGAAGGTTATTTAAAACCAGAAAATATTTTAAATATTTTTAGACTAAGAATTTTTGTGTGTATGTGTGGGGGATGATTCTTGTCTTAATAGGAATAGATAGGTTCACACGCCTTGTCTGTCTTTTCAACAAGAGTAGAGATTTATCCCTTGTTCTGGTTTAGGATTGTGCTTCCAGTTTCTACAAAAGTCTGTACATTCTCTTTCACTCCCAGTAGCCCCCTTGCATCTTATTGCCTTCCTTTGGGATGAATTGATTTAAAAAGAAAAAATTAACCATAACTGGAAGGAGAAAAGGTGAATTCATACTTTTGCCAAGGGTATTTGAATGTGAGTGAACGAACATGACTGGAATGATAACTTGGTTCTGATTCCCAATTCCAAGTGTTTATTCATTACATCACCTGCACATTCAAGCAGACAGCATATTTTACTCCCAAGCAGTCACCCCTCTCACTACTGACCAGGCTCAACATTGCTTATCTTCGGTGATCATAATGAGAACCGGTGATTCAATGTGATACGGCTGTTAGCTAACTCTCATTGCTAAAAAAATTCACAAGATATAAAACACTATCTGATAATGTTTTTATTCCAGAATCTTAAATTATGACATTACATAAAAAATAACAGTAATGTGCAAAGGTTGTTCAGATTTTTTATTCTTTACAACTACTTAAATGAGTTATTAAAATGATATAATCTCTTATATTTATATTTCTTTTTAATGATTCCCTTCCAAGGAATGTAATAAAGCCACTAAGATGAAAAGGGTTACTGAGAGCAAAAGAAAGCGAGAAAACGTTGAGGAGAGAGAGGATATTGACAGACCAGGATTCAAGGAGACAGATGCCGATTGATGTTGTACTTAAATTTTTGAAGACCATGATTGACAGGAAAGCAAGAAGCTGGAAGGGAGTTCCACATGCAAGAAATGCAGGAGAAGAAACTAGAAGAGTTTACAGTTACATCTAGTAATTTCAACAGTAAAGTAATGAAATCTAGCTGCCAAACTAGTACTACACTTAAATTCATGAAGCCAAGGTACCAAAGAGGAAAGACCATCAGAACAATTACCATGAAAGTATTTATGAAAAAGGCACAAGGAAGCAATATTATGGCACTAAGTGTTTGAAATCAGGATGCCAGGTTAGGACCAATGAAATTGCATATTCTTCTTTGGATTTTATCAATAATTTCTAGATACATTGTAGAAGCAGTAGACCAGATATGGCAGCAATATTTAATGCACAAACAAAAAGTAATTTAGTATTCAAAACATACAAATACTGAACATACAAGACTAAGATTTCAAGACCTTTGTTTAAAAACTAAAAGAGTCTTTAATTAATTTGCAAGTTTTCATGGCACAAGTTTGAGTGACAATGCCAAGTCTGAAAATCTATATTTGACATGAGTATTTCAATATTTAAGTAAAATTCTTTCTTTCAGCCAATTTTGTACTACAATGGAAGAAGACTAACACATTCCAGAAGTTCAAAGAATATATTTCCTCTATTATATTTTAGATTTATATCACCCTGAGTAACAGGTTTAAAATTATAAAGTGACTGATAATGGTTTTTAAAATACTGAACTGAAATTCAGCATCACCCAATACTGATACCAAACCATAAATTTAGGACCTTTCCTCTTGCAATAATTCATTTAAGCCATCTGATGACCAACTACCACAATATAAATTAAAATTCTTTCTAAAGTCTTAATAAAAAAAAATATCCACAACATCATTTTACCAATGTTAGTTTGTACATACTTATCTAACTCATAAGATATGATTACTCAAAGTTCATTCAAACTATGTTTTTTTTTTTTTTTGGGGGGGGGGGGTCATCACCGCTGCCTCATCCCCGTGTTAACTCACCACCATCCTACTCAACTTCAGGACAACTCAACATTGGCATCAAATTCATAGCTTTCCTGGTGTTTTTCTAACTTTTCACCAGTTAAGTTGTCCCCATGCTTAATATATTGGAGCTGATTAGGGTGGTAATGAGTTATCCTGCACCATATTCCCCCCCCCCTAAACAAAATCCAAGAGAGATAATTCTGATGAAAAAATGATTTGCTCTTATTCTTAAAAAGATATATTTCTTGTCTTGATTATCCTTAGCAAAATGACACTGATGCTGCCCATTTTAACTATCTTATTAGTAATTAACAGTAAGACATTTTAAGAAAGGAAATTTAATTGTAAGCCAGAAAAAGCCTCTCAATTCAATGAACAGTTATCAAATCTTGATTCACAAAACTGGCAAATAAATTGACCTGGCAGGTTCAGCAACCAATATCAGATGAGCCACACAATTCCCCTTGTAAGACAGGTTGTAATATGATGATAATGACGCTGCTTTTAAGTACCATATGCTGCCAACTACTATGAAGGCTGATATTTTAAATGTTCATTTCCAATATTTCTAGTTAACTTCAATTTCAGAGTTCAAATATAACAGCAGATTATTGAAGAAGTTGGGCATTGCTTGAATGAATAATTACAATCTACTAAATTACAAGAGCAAGTGGAATCAATTCGAGATATTTATAGAAATTCAGCTTCTTTTCTTGAAAGCATTTGATTTCTTGTATTGATAAAAGCAAAGAAGAATAAGTTTCTATAATTGAACTTTATATTCATTCAGAGTTCATTGAGACAGATATTATCATTCTCAATGTGCAGAAAGGTTCTTATGAGCAATCCTATTTTTCTTGGAGATTTTTGCTGCTTCCTTTTGAAATCCCAACAATTTAATGAGAAACATCAGAGGAAATATATTCCTTAGTTATGACATCACAAAAAGGCTAACACAAGAAATAGTAATGGTCATAGTTACAAGTTCAGAAAAGCTGACAGATTTTATTAAAAGATAACTCTGGATGAAGACCTATACCTTTGCATGACCCCAGAGGTAATATTTATACTCAAATAGACGGTATTGCAATGTGAGCTCCTTTAGTCCTCCTTTTTTCTAATTATTATATGGCACATTTAGAAAATAGAATACTTAATGACACTAATAAACTCCTTATATATGCAAGATACATAGATGATATTTTTATTTTAGCTAAAAATACTGATACACAACTTAAAAACAAATTTAAAAGTCACTCTGTCCTCAAATTTATACTAGAACTTAATAAAATTCCATTCCTTGATGTATTTATTGATTCCAGTACACATAAATTTACTACTTCTCTATATAGGAACACACTAACATTAACTCATGTCTTCTTAATTATAATAGTAAATGCCCCCAACAATATAATTTAGCTGTTATAAAAAACTTAATCCAACACACACAAATGATATTTTCTTCCAAATCCTTATTCTATAAAGATAAATTAGTCTATAAAGAAATTACATAACATTAAACAAACACTTGTTAATAATGGATTCTATAATTCTGTCATCAATCAACAAATTAAAATGTAAATTTAATGCCTCTAACAAAATTAATATTAATAATAATACTGTACATCAAAATAAACATTATTATTAACTTACACTATTGTAACCAAATGCATAATAATTACAAACATGATGAAACACTCAAAAACATAATAGGTAGAAATGTTAAATATATTAATAAGTTAAGCTCATCATACATTATAAAAAATTTAAAACAGTTGACCACTTAGTCTCTAATAACTCTACAACCACACAACTAAATCCACTACAAAAAACCATAGTGTATCAATTTACATGCCCATTCAGAGATTGTATCTCTGATACTAATAATAAACCCACTGCATATATTGGTTTTGCTGCAACCACACTCTCCCATAGACTTACCTGTCACCTTTCTGATCTTAGTTCTATTAAACAACAATTTCTTAGAAAAACATGTACATAATATTAGAGATTGTTAATTGATAACATATTAGAGAGATGTTAGTTGATAACACAACAATACTCACACATACACACAGTAAAAAGAAATTTCAGATAATGGAGGTCATCTATATTAAAATAAAAGCAACCCACACTCAACAAAATTACATTTCAAACTAGTCACAACACATTACATTGCATCTCAAGATATTGTTCTGTTGTTAATATTTCGGTCTCTCATGTGGTACAACATCATAGAACTGCATCATAAATTTACAACCTGTGTCTGCTATTCCACGACCGTTATCGTCGCATAGCAATCTTCTATGTTAACATAACAGAATATCATCTTTGATGGTGAATATCTTTGTTTAAATGTCTGTATAGCCACACTGAAGATGGCTCATGTGAGCCAAAAGCTTAGATCAAGGAACAGCTTAATAAAAATATATTCAAATTTTGGACAATTTTTGTCTTTATTTTCACCTGAAATTAAAGCAACCATACAAAGTTTATAACAGCTCAAGATCAAACATAATAGACATTCATTGTCTGTTATATTTAACAATATATATATATATATATATATATATATATATATATATATGTGTGTGTGTGTATATATATATGTACATACAGGCAGGATGTGGCAAGGCTCCAGCTGCTCTACAGCTAGTTCCACAGAAAGTGCTTGGACAAGCTATATTCTCTGATCCCACCAAGGCAAACCTTCACAGTAAGAATATGTCATGCCACTTACATAGCAGCAAACCACCCATATTTCCTCTGTATTCCATCAGTGAGAAGTAAGTTCTACTCAAACAGCTTCTTCCTGTTAAACACTGCCATGTGAAACCAACTCCCTTTCATACAAATGCTGGTGTTCCCCAAGGCTCTATCCTGGGTCCTAAACTGTTTCTGATCTTCATCAATGATCTTCCTGATGTCATCAGTTCCCAAGTAGGCATCTACACAGACAACACTAGTATTTAACCTGTCTCAATAGTAAATCCAGCATTGCTGACAAAGATAACGTGGCCATTGGTCTCGAAAAGGGCCTCCAATCTGTGGTTGACTGGGGCAGGAAATGGCTTGTAAACTTTAAACTCTCATTTACCCACTATAGAGAACTCTTCCTGCCTCCTATCAGCATGGCTGATGCTCAATTCCCCGAGAGTATCTCTCTGTGCTTTCTTGGTCTCACATTTTCCACTGACCTGAGGTGGAACAACTAGCTTGAATCAATAGCTTCATCTACCACAAGAAAAGTTGGTTCTCTGTGTCATGCCAGAAGGTTTTTCTCTCCATCCTTCAAATCTACCATTCATCCTTGCATTGAATACTGCTGCCATATATGGTCTGGTGCCCCCACTGTTCATTCTGATGTGCTCAACAAAATCCAGAGACATATATGCAATGTGATAGGTCCCAATCTGGCATCTCATCTACAGTCACTTTCTCACAGATGTGATGTGGCTTCCCTCTGTCTTTTCTACAAATATTTTCATGGTAACTGCTCTAACAAGGTACTTTCACTGGTACCCCCTCCCAACTGCATGAATTTAAGCATGCTAATAGCTTGGCATCTTGGTCACACGCTTTCACTGTTGAAACAGTTAAATGTAACCACCTCTTCTACTCCAACAACTTCTCTTGCACTTCCCACCAGTGAAACTCCC